CGATAGCTGTGGTTGAGCAGCCACGTACAGTGAGCCTATTTCGTCTAGCAGAGTATCACAGTGGCAAAAAGAATGTCTCAGAAGTGGCCAAAGTGGCCAAAGTGGCCAAAGTGGCCAAAGTGGCCAAAGTGGCCGAAGTGGCCAAAGTGGCCAAAGTGGCCAAACGCCGGAGCATGAATGCCATTTGCCGCCGTTCTCCGCTCCGTGCGCTCGGGTGCTTGTGAGAGGCGATAAAAACAAGCAGGCAGCCCAAGCCCTCCCCACGCAAAAAAGAAAAAACGCCGTTCATCAACGTCAATGTGCCCTGTGCGTACCTGGACTTCTTGGGCATCGTTTGGCATCGCGCATACTCAGCCTCCCTTCTCTGAGTGAGAACTTTGAGAAGGTGAGCCATCTGTGTGCGCGTCCTTCATGTCACGGCCAGGCAGGCGATGCGAAGCATCAACAAATCAGGTAGGTCATCCTCCTGATTGAATGATGCAGCGAGACACACACATACACACATACACACATACACACATACACACATACACACATACACACATACACACATACACACATACACACATACACACATACACACATACACACATACACACATACACACACACACACTCACATACACACATACACACATACACACCTACACACATACACACATACACACATACACACATACACACATACACACATACACACATACACACATACACACACACACATACACATACAAAATCTTGACATTGTACTCCCGGTGTCGCCACTGGACGTGCCAAGCCGCTGAGTGTCTGCAAGATGATCTAGAGCTAGCTGCCACTGCATCGTGTTTGCCAGACCTCCAATGCGGCAATGCCGCTTCGCACATCTCGCGATTCTGGCGATATCTCCCTCGCAGTGTTCGCAATGCCCTGACCCTCCAGTCCTCGCAGCAGCACCATGCGCTCCTTCTCTCCTGCGAGGTGGCCAGAGCCTCGGAGGGCACCGGCGACACCTCGAAGCATGCATGAAGTTTGGGGGGGGGGGGGGGGCGCGCTTTTCATAAAGCTTGGGTGACTTGGGCTGCGGCTCTAGCAGATAGCAGAACAACACAGAGCAACTTCTAGCCATGACAGGCATTGCGCACACCAGTCTGCCATGCTGCAGATGCTTCGACGTGTCCATTGCACCATCCCCACCTGCCTGCCAGGAGTTGTTGGCTGGCATGGCCCTTCTGGATTTTCCGCAAGAGCAGCTGGCCAACGTCCACATTCCTGAGGTCAATTTATCTTTTATGAAGGCGAAGCAAAAATGAAATTCTGAAAGGATGCAAAGCCGACAAGATGGGTCAAGGAAGCATGGGTTGCGGTCGTTGCAACAGCTATCAGCTCTCGCATAAGCTGGCACAGGTGCACACACATAACTCCATCCCTCCCATCCTGCCTCGACCGGGCATCTTTGGCCATTCTCGGAGCGTGTGCTTACCACGCGGTCGGCCATGGCAATTGGTGTCAGCGTTGTGGCTGTGGGCTGCCGAGCTCAACACAACGAAATGGTCTTACGCTGCCGTGGTTGGGCTCATGTGCTGCGATCCCAGCAGATACTGTCCCAGCTGTAAGCCCAAGCGAGCGAAAGGAGCCTTCGGCGTTGCTGCAAAATATGTCCCCCGCATTGTCCCACCGATCCTCCAGGACGGACCGCGTTTCAACGAGTCTCAGGGCGAGGTCGGCGGAGTCCTGGCAGAGGGCTCCTTTTGCTGGGCCTCGCGTAGCACGTGGTGCAACGAACTGTAACGCCTCCAACACGTTGCGAGGCAGCGGTGGCCCTGGCCGTAGCCGGCCATAGAACATTGCCACCGTCGCTAACCTTGGCGGAGCGCCAAGGCATCAAGTTCCGAGAGGCATCTAGAAAGCAGACCACGATCCTGTCTCCTTCCCTCCAAACCCACTGATTTTGGTGACGCCCCCCCTTTTTGTGGGGCCCACCCCAGCCCAGCCCAGCCCAGCCCAGCCCCAGCCCAGCCCCAGCCCAGCCCCAGCCCAGCCCAGCCCCAGCCCCACCCCCAGCCCAGCCCCAGCCCAGCCCCAGCCCAGCCCCAGATCAGCCCCACCCAGCCCAGCCAGCCAGCCCAGCCAGCCCAGCCCCAGCCAGCCCCAGCCCCGCAGCCCCAGCCGGCCCGCTTGGAGGAGCGCAGACCCATGCTGTGTGGGGTTGCTCGGACCCACCCTGGCACTCTTCCTGGGATCCCCCTCAAACCTCTGGGCACGGCTGCCGAGGCGGCGGGCAAGCGTTTACAATTAAATGATACACGGTGCACAGATCATCAATGCTGCCTTTGAGACCTTGGCAGCCTTTCGTCGCGACACTGCCGCTATGTATAGCCCACCCATGGTAGCTGAGCAAAAGGCCACTGCAAAGAAGGAACATCCCTCTGTCCCTGGATGGCTGCATCTAGCTCGGCCTCGTGCCGGTTGCAGATGAACTAGCTCCTCGCTTTACCAACCAGAAAAAAGTGAGGTGGCGACTTCAACGCGCTCATGGAGCCATCGGAAGGCCTTCATCAAGTGTGCGTGCATTACACGCACAAGGTGCATGTTCGAACCAAATTCTTCATTGGCAAGGCCGATGCCTCACAGGATGTTGACCCATTTCCCTGCAAGGCGATTGCTTCAACGTTTACCTTCACAAGCCGGTGCTTTGGCCTGCATCTTGCTGGTGGGGAGCGACATGGCCTCAGCAAAACTCAAAAGCACTGAGACAGCCCGATCTGCCTTGGGGAGCCACAGCCTCCCACACAGTCAGGGCACAGCCCTGCCTCGATGGCGCCCCCTTTCTCTAGATGCGACCGCAGCCCCTCGCTGGCGCCGTCCACAGCAGCCGCACCTAGCCTCGGACTTTGAACAGGCAGAATCAGTGCCATTTATGGCGAAGTGCGGCTAAGGTCTTCGGAACAGTCACATACCATCAGGTTCATTCGCGATTGCTGCACGCCCTCCACCATATTGATTCGATATGCTGCACTGTACTTCCCGGTCAGCGCGGCAGCAATCGAATGCGGGCAATTCTAAAGAGGATTGTGCGCCGTGCTGAAATCTTCCAAACACCCTCCAGCCCAAACGCCTACCCCGTCCCTGCCCTTGGCCACTCCTTTCCGGGAGTAGGGCTTTCACCCCCGCCCCCCCCCTCCCAGTATCCCCCAGTCCCCTAAAGGGGTTGGGGTTTGTCACTCCTTGTAATCCTCGACATATTGTGATGAGAATTTTGGTTCGTGCCTGACGTCAAGTGCTCCACTTTTCCACTCGGCTCCCTTCTTCACACAGGGTTGTTGTGCTTCCCACTCCTGATCAAGTGTTTCATGAAGCTGCTAGTTCTTGCCAGGGGGCTTTCTACAAGTAGATAATTTGCAAAACGAGCGCAAACTATTCTTAACACAAGAAGAAACATCGACTTCATGGTATCTGCCCCCGGCCCCCTCCCAACCACGCATGTACACTTGAGTGGCATAATCTGAACCCTTGAAAAGTATGAAGAAACCCTGATACTCCATAAGAACATGAGATGTGGGCTCAGCAGAACAACCTCGGAGCAGTACAGTGGGACATCAGCGACGCAAAAAGCTAAGCGACCCCCCCTCCCACGACCCACTTCCAGGTTGAGGCTTGGATCTTCCAGTCTCTCCAACGCGTAAGCCCCTGAAAGAGTACACGAACACTCCAGTGCGTCCCACCGGGTTCCCGCACAAATCCGGAAGTCGCCTCAGCGCCGCTCCCCCTGCATCGGAGGAAAGGCTGCTGCCAGCGGCCTGTCTCTCGGCATTCAACTGCACAACCCCTCATCTTCTGCAGCAAGCAAGGCGCACCTCGAGGGCTGCCCACATGTCTTGCAAGTTTGACACCTCCTCGATTGCCAAGCAGGCCACCTGGCCAAAGACCACCAGCGCCTGGCTCAGAGATGCATGCATTCCAACGCAGCCCTCCAATAAGCATCGATGACTCAAGAACCGCAACCTGAACCGAGATCTGCAGATAACGGCATGATAAAACTGACCTAAACCTCCACTTGAACGCCTCTGCAGCATCTGAGGTCCAGCAGGACGGCCCGGCCAGAAGTGCCTCGAGCCCCAACCTCAGTGCGAGGCAAGAAGTGGTGCCGATACTAGCCGATAGTAGCAGCTTTGCTGTGCCCTCGGCGATGGATTCTCGGGTCTGGCACGCTTGGCCTTCCGAGTGACCACAATTCAGTACAAGATGCCTGGTTCCCTGCAGCAGTGTCTGAAAGTGTCGGGATTGAGAGGCCCCTATTTCGAGCACAAAGAGCCTTCGGCTCGGGAGCCAGCGGATAGAAGCGCTGCTTCTTTCGGGTCCTGGCAAGCACTGGCTTCGCGGAAAAAAGTGATGCTGATTGCTGTGCTGGGCAAAGCTGCAGACTTGGCACGGGCTGCGTCCTGCCATTGGCCTTGGCCTGCGCAGGGTGCATCATAACATCGCCACACCCTCCCGCCACGCCATGAGACAAGCCCTTGTGAACCCAACCCAAAGTGACTTCCAACCCGACGGCCCTACGCGATCCTACGCGCCTCGGGCCGGGAGCTCATCGGACGAGCTGGTGAAGTTTGCGCCCGAAGCGTTCAGCCATGGGCCCAAGCTTCCACACTCCACACAGTGGGTCCTTCTTTTAAAATTAGCATGATGTTAACGGGGTTCATAGTTCATATCGGATTCCATCAGTTTTTTTTCAACTGTGCTTCGTGTGGAGAGGCAACGTGCAACTGTGAGGTAGTCAGGACATCAGGTGCGGGCTGCTAGCGGAGCCTGTGGCTGGTCATGCGTGCTATATCCTGCTGTTTTCATGTTGGCCTGCCGGTAGCTGTGAGTGGCCGAGCTGGCGACATCTGTAGATGGTCAACCAATGCCGCACAGAAACCTAGTACACCCTTACAACTTGAGTACCCCTACAAATTCATGAATCGCGAAAGGGTATGCTGAGTACGCAAATATGGCACCAAGAAGCCAAGAAGGTGTGGCCTTGCTGGAGCGACACTGGAACTGATCCAGAATTGTGTCGGTGTCCGCATCTCGAGGGTGTTCGTACACGACATGTTGCCTCCATGCGACAGGATAAGCCAGCTTGCAAAGAATCTAAGACTGTGCATGTGCTGGAGCGCACCATGCTTGGTCTTTGTCCAACCACATCATGGTGGTGGTTGCCAGCCACATCTCACTGGATCCAGGGACCGGAGCCACAGCCACCTCGGTGCTGCGAAGAGCACGTGGTATGTGCGGACATGTCCGAAGTCCCTCTCGTCACCAAGAGCTGAGAGCATAACTGCAGCAAGGCATACCAATGACGATTGCAGTTTTTCGCCGACGGTCTTTGCCTTGAACCATCACCCGTGACTTACCACATGCAGTTGCCATAAACGCAGTTGACTGTTTAAGACTGTTGTTCAGTACGCAGGACAGCATACGCAGGACATCTGTGTTTGCAGAACGCCGAGATTGCAGTACCACGGCATTCCCAGACTGCGCAATGCAGGAATTGAATAACTGCGACGACACGTATGGGAGATATACATGTCTACTATATATGTTTCCGTTGGCATAGATGCACATACGCTTCATAAACACAGTACTAGAAATAAAACATACATATATGTACATACAGATATGCATTGTATATCTACTGCTCCCAGCGCTACTACCACTCCTGCCACAATCACCACTACTTCCAACCGAGCTCACGTCTCACTGGTCTCTAAGGAGAACACAGAATCATTACGATCGCGATGATTCACAGCAGAACAAAGGTCTCCATAGATGGTTGGCCCTTCAACCTCAGGGCCTCAAGGCTAAACGATGCCATACCTGCTTCGCTGGACCTGAAAAGCACGCCGGCGGGAGGAGAGCGCACCCTGTTGCTGAAGCCCACGGCCTTGGAAGGAGGGAAGGAAGGGGCCGAGATGGGCCGAGAGGGCTGAGGGATTTCTTCCATATTCAGCTGTTCGGGGGGTAGGGCCTGGGGCCTTCTCATTCTGCAACAGACGAAAAGGTAGCCAAGGCTTGGACTCAGGAGCTTCAGCTGCCGAGAGAATCGAGCAGCGCGCTGCACAGAAATGGCGCAACTCTCCCTCGCTCTCTCTCTCTCGCTCTCTCTCTCTCTCTCTCCTTCTCTGTCTCTCTCTGTCTTCTTCATATTATTCTTCTTCTGCTTCTTCTTCATCTTCATCTCATCTGCATCTTCATCTTCATCTCCATCTTCATCTTCATCTTCTTCATCTCTCTCTCACTCACACACGAAACATGAGACGTCACTGAGACACAAACAACAACCTCGAGCCTGATGCATCTCGGCATGTCGTTCCAGCAAACGCTGAACCTTGGCATCAGGACAACTGCCAGAGAGTCAGAGTAGGACTTCAACCTACGGCCGCCGACATCCCGATGATTCCCGCACCTCCAGAGCACTGATCCCCGCCGCACTGAACCAGCCGGCACGGTCCACATCCTCAAAGAGGAGCCGCTCTCGCACCTGCAAGGATCTGCAAAACGCAGCCTTTTATCGGCGATGCCTCGCAAGGCCTCCAGTAGCCTCACAACACCCTATCACCCTTCGGACTATGTGTTGAGATGAACCCATGATGCAAGAAGCTATGGTGACAAATGTCCTGCAGTTTTAGATTCGTTTGTCGCTTGATCCACCTTGTTGCATAAAGATCCCACAGGCATTGTGAACTGCGGCTTAGGCTGCCAACCTACAACTGGACAAGTCGATGTTTTGATTCAGACCAGCCCGTGCCGAGGACCTCCTGGCCACGGGCCAGAATGGCAGCCAGCTCCGTGTTGAAGTCGCCGAGCCACTGCACAAAGGAGGGCTATATTTGGCTGCTGTGCAAGGATCCTCGCTATGCTGGCAGCGGCAGCAGCAGCGGCAGCGGCAGCGGCAGCGGCAGCGGCAGCGGCAGAAGCAGCAGCAGCAGCAGCAGCAGCAGCAGCAGCAGCAGCAGCAGCAGCAGCAGCAGCAGCAGCAGCAGCAGCAGCAGCAGCAGCAGCAGCAGCAGCAGCAGGTGGTTTACTGGAGAGCAACGAAATGTGCATTCACAAGCTCGAACCCAGGAGAGGAAAGCTGGTAGGCGAATTCAGTGCATGCGCAGAGGTTGACTTCACCGAAATCGACGTGGGATCCTCTGGTTTAAGTACGTGTCAACTCTGGCCACCATCTTCTAGTTGGAATCGTTCGGCTAGATTCGGACTTTCTCAACTTGCTATTGATTTTCCCCCCGCATGACCAAACTTCGTCTCCAATTACAAGGGTCCGGGGTTGTCAAGAGTAGAAAGGCGATCAGTGCTTGGTGCAGGCTTCGGGCTGTGGGACTGCAGAGCCAGTGTGAGAAGTATACTGAAGGGCACGCAATTTGCAGGAGTGGCACAATCTAAGCAATCAATCTTTTGAGGCTAGCTTGTGACCTTGAGACCTTGAGACCCGTATGAGAGGCATGCAGGAGTGGTACAACAAATCTGAAGCTTTCACAGCAGTGGAATAAGCAGAAGAGTCGAGTAAGCCTCTTCAGACTCTTACATCGCTCAGGACCCGCAGCATGCTAGGGCACGGGCAATCAATCGTCTTTCGAGGATTTCCTCACACTGCTTCCGCAAACTCACCTTTGAAGAACAAGCGCGCAGGCGGATGGATACAAAGGCTCTGCTCTGCTTTCAAGCTGCGGGAAGAGTGCTTGCAGTGTGCTCGTTGCCTATCGCCATCTGGATCTCCTGCCGACAGGTCGTTGTGTCAACCTGCGGAAAGCACAACTAGTCACGCACTCGCGCCTGCCAAAGGCCCCTCTCGGGTTCAGAGTGAGCCTCATGCTAGCGCACAGTGAGTGGTCATCATCGTGTCAGATCCAGCCGAGTGCAGTGGCTCTTCGAATCTCACGCAATTGGTGATGAGACTCCTCTGCCGAACGTCTAGAGCTTTTCAAGGACTTGCAGTCTCACACCTGAGCTCGTTCGCTCGTTCGCTCGTTCGCTCGTTCGCTCGTTCGCTCGTTCCTCCATGAGCTCCAAGATGTCCCATTTCCATGGTGGCGAACCTGCAAATCTCAAATTTCTGTCAGCGATGTCTGAGATGTCTGCGCGACTTGGGCATGGCACTTGAAGGCGTTGACCTGAATTCCAGCAATAGGCTTCGTCGGGCGACGTGGAGGTACGACTTAAAGCACACAGTGAGCCGATGTCAGCTCTTGATTTCTATGATCATCAATCTGCCGTACGGCCTGTGGGAGGCCTTTGGGCGAGGCCTCACCCCCCCCCCCGCTTTTGAGCTGCAAAGGCTTTTTGGCATAGAGCCCCCAGCAGAATTCCCGGCTTGGACTTGGGTGGGACACGAGTGGAAAGCTTGAATCTGGCCTTCCTGGCTCAGGCGACTCCGTGCTCTGCGACACTTGCTCTTCAGAATTCCTAGAAGGCTCCTAAGGAGCCTCTGGGGCTCGCGGCATGTTGGAGGCTCGTTTCATCAGCTCCTTGCATCGTTCAGCCACGTCGTACTTGTCGAATGGCTGTGGCGCCTGCAAAACTGAAAAATATTTTTTTACACCTGCATTCCACCGCAGCCTCAAGGCTCGCATGTCAGGCCTGGCCGACTTTGACATCGTCTGTGTCATCTTGCGATCTCTGTCTAGCAGGTGGCAGACCTGCTGGGTCGTCAGATGCACATCCCAGCTACAAACTTCATCATGCTGGCATCACACCTCCAGCATTGTCAATGTCTACAGCCATGCTACACGTACGAATACGGCATGCAGGTCTCTACTTCTGAGATCATATTGGCAGTTCTAGGGTGGCAAAGACGCAAAAGCAGAACATTGTTGCCATGCTTGCTGTAACTGCTATGTTTGCTATGATTGCTATTGAAAGTCTGTTTCGGAACACTGCCATGTCCGCACGCTTGGTTGGTGCCGGCATGTGCAGGCATCACTGTGACGAGAAGGTTGCAACACATGACTGAAAGAAGCCTCATGCAATCTCATGCACTCAGTGCTTGAGCAGGGAAGCAAAGCGAAGCAAAACTGGACAGTCTTGCTGGTAAGTGTGTTATCTGCACGTGTGGGATGCGCCGGCCTCATCGTCTGCTACCACACACATCGCCCACTACTTTTCTGCATGCGTCGATGGACTCCTGGCAGAGTCCCGCCACCAAGCTGGCTGCGATGAATCCTGAGCAGTGCACAGAATCTCAGATCAGAGCATCAGGGCCTTGGCTTGCCGCATACCCTGAAAGCTACCGTGAACAGGCGGGTGCAGTTCTGCACCTTTTAATGCAGGTTGCTTGCTCCTTCCGTTGCTAGAGGCAGTGCTCCGATTGCAGGGACCAACTGACGGAAAGCAGCAAGCACTACTGTGAGCAACAGATATAGAAAGCATGCGATCAATAGGAAATGAACATTCGAAGGAAAGTAAACAAAAAACAACAAAGCACCGATGCCAGGAGCAGGCTCCCAACAATGAAATCTACATCCACGGCAGAAACTGCTTGTGATAGAGCTCTGTTCCCCAGAGAGCTCAAGACCCTTGACCAGCGCATGAGCGCCGGAGAGGCTTCTGCTACTTCTGTTTCGCTTGGGCGCCGCGCCCGAGCAGACACCCCCCAGGTGCGCTGCGGCAACACCTTGCAGGGCCCGGCACACAAAGCAGTTTTAACAGGCTCGGCAACTGTAAATCCATGCGTTTCCCACGTGCTTACCCCGCTGTGCGCCTGCTGCTCGCGCAGGGCAGACTCCAGCCGCAGAAGGACGTGCGCATCTGTGGCAGCATAGATGACCTGGAGCAGCCCAAAGACATGAACAAGTTTATTTGTTGACTAGCCAGCATGCGACGCCTGTGCGGTACTCAAGGGGCGGAAGTTCCAATTGCTGACCTGAATGTGTGACATCACGTGACATAGCACGGGAGGTGTTGACTTGTTCTCGAGCGTAGGCACCATCTCTTCCGATGTCTGCCACCCCAGTCTCTGCTCGGCCAACAAAAGCCAACAAACGCCGCCATGTAAAGAGTTGCGGGCTTCGAAAAATGCATGTTCATGTGGAGAGCAAAACACAGCACAAAGACCCTGCGGATGACATTCGGGCTTCGGTGGGGCCTGCAATCCGGGATTGGAAGCTAAGCTTTCGTCCTACTGCTAGTCCAATCATCGTGAGGCGGATGCCTGTAGACAACAGAATCTAAGAGAATGGAGGAGGAACCCAGTGCTAAGTTTCCCAACAGACATTCGGCCTAGGTGAAGTTTACGAGCATCATGAGCATCAGCCGCCCAAGCCCTTGACACGTCAAGACCAGCAGGCGAGCACCATGAGCATCAGCTGACCAAGCCTTGGCATGTCAAGCCAGCTGGCGAGCATCAGGAGCATCAGCCGCCCAAGCCCTTGACACGTCAAGACCAGCGGCGAGCATCATGAGCATCAGCCGCCCAAGCCCTTGGCACGTCAAGCCAGCGGGCGAGCATCATGAGCATCAGCCGCCCAAGCCCTTGGCACGTCAAGCCCAGCAGGCGAGCATCATGAGCATCAGCCGCCCAAGCTTTTGACACGTCAAGCCAGCATCATGAGCATCAGCCGCCCAAGCCTTTGACACGTCAAGCCCAGCGAGCGAGCCTCATGAGCGTCAGCCGCCCAAGCCCTTGACAGGTCAAGCCAGCGGGCGAGCATCATGAGCATCAGCCGCCTGACACGTCAAGCCCAGAGAGCGAGCATCATGAGCATCGGCCGCCATACATCAGCCGCCCAAGCCCTTGGCACAAGCCAGCGGGCGAGCATCATGAGCATCAGCCGCCCAAGCCCTTGGCACGTCAAGCCAGCGGGTGAGCATGATGAGCATCAGCCGCCCAAGCCCCTGACAGGTCAACACAAGCGGTCGAGCATCATGAGCCAAGCCCTTGGCACGTCAAGCCAGCGGGCGAGCATCATGAGCATCAGCCGCCCAAGCCCTTGGCACATCAAGCCCAGCAGGCGAGCATCATGAGCATCAGCCGCCCAAGCCGTTGACACGTCAAGCCCATCGAGCGAGCATCACGAGCATCAGCCGCTCAAGCCCTTGGCACGTCAAGACCAGCAGGCGAGCATCATGAGCATCAGCCGCCCTTGGAGTGCAGTGCAGCGGCGGTCGACTCCACGACCCGGTAAAGACGATGCGGACCATGCCAAGAATCTCTCCGAGCGTGCAATTTTGAGTGTGCTGAAGGCCTAGATAGATGCAGTAGAAGCAGGGGGTCTGGGAACACATCAGGCAGAGCGATGACGGGGGCATGCTTTCACAACCTTTCTGGCGATTAAAAACCAAATGAGTTTCCAACATGAGAGCATCTCGAACGAAGCTAGTTCCCTCGGAAAAAAGCCACCACTGAGTGGCAGAGGCGAATTGAAACCGAGGACGTAACGGAACAACACGAGACACAACTGAGCTCCTGACACAACTCGACACAAAAGGGCACCCAGACTTGCAACATGCGGTGCCACTTCTACCTGCCCTGTGAAAGCCAGGACTCCAGGGCATTGTCTGGAACAGACTTCGGCCATCCCGTGAAGAGGTCAAATTTGCGTGAACGAGCTTTGGATACCGTGCCACACTCCTGGGCGCACTGCCCGATACTGCTTGTTGAGAGTCTCACCCAGGTACTTCTCCACCTACTTGAAAGACGTGGCCGCTCTTGAGTCTCAAGTCAGAGCTGGAGCTGGGGCACAAGCCAGGCGAGACAGAGACTGGTGACCTCCGACTATGAACACCTGCTCGGAGTGTTCCTCAAGCACATGGTGCTGTACCACTGCGCGCAGGTATCATATTTCGTGTTGGTTCACTGCATGTTGTGTGCTTTGGTCATGTCCTGGATCGGATAGGGGGGCAGCGGATGCTGGCCGATCTCTGCCACTTTCACAAAGTCATCTACCTCCAGACAACGGTGGTAAATCTGCTGAGACTGGGCGTTCATCTGCCGCAAAGTCTGTGCTGCACTGCGCCTGCAAAGCTTCACCCATCAAGCTCTCTCGCCCCAGTGGAGTGTCCTAGGGGAAGCTTCATGGGACTCAGTTTAGTGCATCTGCCAGGGACATGCAGAACCACCTCTGCGCGAGGATTGGATACCTGCACCCTGCGAATGCGCTGTGTGTAGAGGTCAAGTACCTTCAAGAAGGAACGACATTGGCTACTTAGGACACACTCTTCCTTGCACAACGGATGTCAGGAGCACGCTTGCGAGGTAGTCCTTCCCACTGAAACTGCGACCGTAGGGGCCAAAGAGCATGTTCAGACGAATGAGGTCCTGGGAAACTCTGAACTTGACCGCTTGGCCACGCAACCAATGCCAGCTTCCCCGCTTGACAAGTTCGGGACGTGCGGAAATCCAAAGAACAGCTTGGTCATGGCTTCCCGCCTCAAGATTTGCGACAATGCACAGACGGCCGTCTGAAGCTATGTAGCCAGCCCTTGAGCAAGGCAACTGCATGCAGTGTGAACAGATGCTGCTGCTGGTGCTCGAACACCTTGTACTTGTCACCTTGAACAACAGCTCTGAGAGGAAAGCTTCATGATGTAGTCCATCACACAATGCAGCACCTGTGCGAACTTGCCCAATGAAGATTTGCAAGACTGTGTGCATGCTGGGCCGCCCTGCTGCCATGTAGAGTGGCCTCATAGCTTTAAGCAAACATTCACTGAACCGACCATAGCACGTCTCGTGACAGTTCCATTGGCAGTGATTGCAGGCACTGCACTGCAGTACGAACCATGGGCCATGGGGCACACAAAGAGCTTCCATACTCGTCGGAACTCTAGTTCGGACAGCTCTAGTTCCAGCTTTAGCTCTTGCTCCCGTTCGCTCCCCGGGCTCGCGGACGTCCGGTTCACGCAATCCAGGACGAAAGCTCGGCTTGGCCTCCAGCGCTCTCGGCTTCACACAGTACACTCAGTACACCCCAGTGATTGTATATGGTTCTATCAGATGTGTGGCTTCGGCATTTGTACGATTGGATGCGATTGGGGCATAGCGGCTGCGATCCGATCATAGGGAGAAGAGTCTGGAGCGCACACATCCACACATGCCAGTCATAAGCTCACATGAAGACTTCGCCGACTTCGCCTGCACGGCCCTATTCGAGCCTTCCCTGCACAAAGGCCCTGGTAGGCGAGGGTAGGCAAGGTCGATGAACCCCAGTCTCAGAACGTGAGATCACATGTAGTTCTCTGTGCTATTAGAGGTGAGCCTGGGGATTTCTGAGGAACCTCCGAACTCCCATGGGGCCGAAAAGTGAGATTTCGGTCAGTGATGAAGACCCACAACTGCATATGCTTGGATGCTAGCCTTTCGTTGAGTTTCGGACAGACTGACAAAAAAAAGTTCCTGAGCTTGCCTTCACAAGCCGAAGAAATGCTCGGCACGTCCGCCCACCCAAGAGAAATAACATGACCCAGCCCGGCGGCGTTTGCGTCCCCAACGTCTGCCTTCACTCGCGCAACTTAGGCTACCCTTTTGCGACCACAGACCCTCAAAACCCCCAACGCCTCAAGGACCAGAACACCCCCCTCCACAGGGAAGCATCATCACATGCCCTACTGTCCCGCTGAAAAGGCAAGCCGAAGCCCTAAGCTGTCTCTCAGCCTGAAAACGGCTGTTTGTAGAACCTAGAACTCTGAGATGCTCTTCTGGCACAGACGGAAGAACTTTTGGGTTCCAAGGGCCCGAAAGTAAAGCGGGAGGGGGGGGGGGGTTTTGGGATTGGGAGGCATTCTGCTTCATGGGAACGAGAAAAGCACCCCTGAAGCCTCAAAAGCCAAGAAGGTGCCCCAATCCTCTGAACAGTGATTTGATCGCGGGCCCGTTGTTTTTGAGGAGCACCCGCTGTTAAGCGCTGTGCTGCCATTGCGCTCTAACGTGGCTTGGCCTAACCCACTCGACCAACAACACCCAAACCAAAAGGGCACGTGCATAAGAAATGGGAGAATCGTGATTCGAAGAGGAGTGACAAAGGGCCATTCCGGAAAGAATGGCTCTTAGAAAAAGCTCACATAGCCTGGGATCCAGGCGTTGCAATCTGGATAATGGACACAGGCCTCAAACGTACTCCCGCTCCAACTCCATTGCATCCGGAAATTCCTGACATCCACTGTACACGGGGCCCCGGCTGCGGATCAGACCACTCCAGATCGATGCCAACAAACGCCGGGGATGCCTGTTCAAGAGCCCGTGACTTCTGTCAGCAAGACTCAAATTTGAAACCGGGCGTGAGCCTGCTGCAGGAAGGTCAGAACCTCGAAAGCAAACAAGAGCCACGTTGCAAATCATGCCACCTGCCCAATAGACCCGGAAACTGGACTGTGCACAGTGCAGCATATGACATACAAAGCCTCCCACGGCTTCTAGGTGCAGTGCGTGCGAGAGGCCCTGTGCAGAGTCAACGAAGTGGATAGCATCCAGCGGCAGCTCTGCCATCGGATTGGGCAAGCCCTTCACAGTTGCAAAGAAAGCCAGGAGCGGAAAAAAGATGTGAGGACATGCTGCCCCAAGTCAAAACACAGTCCTCGCTGGTTTTGATGGACTGGGCCGGAGCAGGCATGTCTCCGCCCTTGAAGTGCACAAGGTCTTGTACAGGACACCTCCCTTTTTGCAAACCGATTCAAGGCCCACACCCATAGAGTCAGAGCCTTGGCTACAACACACAGCACCCAAAGCGTGTAAAGCTTCAGAAGGCGGGATCTCGGTTCTCGGCATCTTCTTCCATGTGGCCAGCAAGGACACTGTAGGCATTGACCTCTTGCGGCTGCACGAGTACAAGTACCAGAGGGTACGCACTGCCACATGCTGACTAGACTGAGAGCATGTCACTGCTGTGCCTCCCGTCCTGAGCTATATTGCACATGACCGAAGCATGTCAACCTGTGTCAAACTGTTCGCTCCGCGGCAAGCGAAGCTTGCTACACCAAGGACTGCACACCCAGATCTTCAGACAAGGCATCTACCTGGCGAACTTTCACCCGCTCATATCCACATATGGCCCCGGATATGTTAACAGTTTGAGCGACCCCACCGGATCGAAGGCAAGCTGCGGCCACGAAGTGTCGCGCATGCGGGATGGTGGAGCCTTCGCGATTCATGCGACACAAGGCTCTCCCTGTACAAGCGGGTAGGTTAAGTCACATCTTTGCGTGTGAAGTCACATCTCCCCAGTGACACGCGGCTGCGAGCGAAGTCACATCATCCCGCGTAAAGTCGCATCACAGAGACGTACGTTGAAGCCTTTCCCCCTATGTGCACGCGCCGCACGCGCGTGTTCTCGACACATATGCAAAATACGCACTTGTCACCGCACGCCTGGGAGGGGAGCACATTTTTGTCAGCGTGAATGAGATTTCTGCTTGGGGGTGCAAGTGGGTCCTGACCAATCTTGGAATTCGCGAATCCCCAGTGTGCACGCGACCGAGATACGACTTTACACAAGAAGATACGACTTAACCTACCCGCTTGTACATCCGCTTGGTCTAGATCCGAATGGGTTGAGAACCTGGCCCTGACACAAAACAGTCTGCGATCATGTGCCATTTCACCTGCTCTGAGTGCACCACCAACCCTGCCAAAGGCTTGGGTCGTCGGCGCGCCATTGATAAAGGCATCAGCTCCCCATCCTGAAAAATTTCGGCTCATCCACAGCTGCGTCAAAGGATATACGTGATGACCGTACCATCAAAGGAGGCACTCGGCCCCTGAAAAAGCACTCTAAGTCACTAAGTACTTGGCTGTCAGCCACATTCTCTGTCTCCGTGGTATCTCTTCATCCTCCAAGCTGCACTGAAACCGGACACATCGCAAGCTTGAAATCGGAACGTTTGTAGTTTCTACGATTCGGAGTCTCTGGCTTATGCCCGCTGAACAAAACACGGATTGCCGCTCCATTCCAGCTGCGAGCAGTAGCTGAGATCTGCTCAGTTGCTTGCATTGCCTCGTCCACAGGAGCCCTTTTGGGCGGAATCGGCAAGGGAGGCGGTCGCATGGGCCAGATATGTGGCAGCTTTGGCCTCGGAAATGCACTTAAACTTGAAACTGTGACAAACAACATCCAAAACTACAGTGGTCGCGTGCGGTCACAACTGTCCGCAGCAAAGCCAGACACGGGGGCCAGGCAGCAGGGGCTTCCCTGAGCGCACATCGGCCTACCAGGGATGCAGAACCACAGACACGGCTGGCAGCATCATATATGAGAAGAGTCTTCACACTAACGGTATAAAACCGAGCCTCAACACAGAGGCTAGTGGAGTAGGACCACGGGCTTCGTGACCTAATACGTTCAATACCGCAGCCCGGGTTTCACTGTGACGCAGCTGGCTTGTGCCCCTATCTAGGCTCGCAGCAGGCCAGTATCCAAGTCTCGCTCACGCAATGCTGCCAGCGCCTCCGCAGGAACAAAATCGAGCTTGTCGACGTGAAGAAAGAAAGAGTGCTCGGCTGCAAATCTAGAAGTTCAACAGGTCCTGCAAGAGCAAAGAGATCGGCTCCAGATGGGCAAGGAAAAAGCGAAGCCCATGCTCACCTCGACTGCCGGGCACTGCGGCTCTGACATCTGCGTATTTCACCTCTTCCTCCAGGAACCAATGGCTCAACAGATGAAAAAAAAAACAAGGTCTAGCTAGGAACCCCAAAACACGCGCGGAGCACAATCACCGACTATTGTGACTAACTTGGGGTGCTTGCCATGGTCGCCCACAAAGCCCGTCTCCAAAAACGAACAGGACCCTAAACGACCCGACCTCCGAGAGCTGTTTTGAATAAGACACACCCAGTCTTGCCCGCATCCCTCGGGCATCCTCGGTGCCGGGGCAAAGGCTTTGCCGGGCCTCGATGACTTTCAGCACCCTCCTCAGGGACCAGCCTCGGACCAGCCCAGGCTCAGACAGTTCAGACAGTTCAACGTGGCTTCGTAACTCAAGGATGTGGCTGGATCCTCCCAGCGAATCGTTTATCGATTCCTGTTTTCGGGGCAAGAGGCCCGACAGATGAAGCGCAGCTAAATCTGCGACTGTGAAAGTCTTTCTTGATCAGCTGTAGGATCACAAAAGCTCTGTCGTGTGCTTGAGCTCAGCAACTGCCACGACGGTTGGGCGCACCACAGGCAAGAAGGAGAGCCCCATGCGGATCACGCCAAAGAGGTCCCGCGCCTCCTTGTGAAGATTTCTGTTGAGCATCGTGATGCCACTGTGTACTGCAAAGCCACTGTGTACTGCAAAGGCAGGCCTCCGTCAAGTGATAGAAGAGAACCTCCAAGTCGTCGGATGTAAGGCTTCTCGGACCTGAATGGCATGCTCATGCAAACGACAACACCTTCACAGATGCGAAGGGCTACGTTTAAAGGGCACTTTTGTTTGCCCGCGGCGACCTGCTATGCAAAACATGTTGACGAGCACGGCAAAGCCGAAAACGTGCTGCTTAGCTTGGCAACGGCAGACAATCTTACACCATGAGCTCATGATGATGAAAAGCTTATAAGTGCTTAGAATAAGTGGTCGACTCTCACCCATTTACGCAGTCACTTCTGCATTACTTATCACGCTCCCTGTACAGGCTGCCAAGGGTTGCATTTTCTGTCAAGGTCCGGGCTGATGCCAAAGCGAGGGATGAGCTGAATGAAAGCAGCAGGACCTCGAAATCTGAAATCTGATGAAGCAGCCAGCTGGAGCAGAACACACAAGCTGGCGCACGAAAGCTAAGAATGGTTCCGACCACGTCCAGGAGCTTGCTGCCATTGATGCGACTGAAGGAGTCTTGGTGCAGCAGAACCCACTCCTGCCGTGCACATCAACAACTCATGGTCCCTCTACAGGCCCATACCTCTGGTCCTCGATGATGTCCACCACCAGGTCTCGAAGCTTCTGCCGCTTCGGGGTCTTCATCACTGGGGAGATCGACCTGAAGGCATGCAGGTCTGCACAGATGCGCAATTCGAGTCTTTAGGCGGCACGGTAGCCTCATCGTCGTCTCGTTTAAGACTCCAAAGATGCACTCGGCGCCTCTGATATAAAAAGCCGATCTAGGCAACAAGGCAACAATGGCCTGTGGGTAGGGTAGCCTGCCTGCATGTACGTGATGCACCTCAAAGAGATTTGAGCATGCGGTGAACAAGTCTTGCCGGAACTCCTCCTGAAGGCAACAAGTGCGACCAACCAGCTTTGTGGTGTGCTGCACTCCTAAGCTTTAAAACACACGAGACTCCTGTCTTCGTCTGTACTCTTTCCAGTCCGTGCAGTCCAAAGCTGCCAGTGCCCCTGCAAATGTTCGTGTCAAAAGCATTGTCAATTTCAGGCACGAGGCATGACATCTGAGCCGCGCTGCTGTAGATGATATTGGCAGCTAGGTCGTTGACAGCCTCGGCTTGCAAGCGGAGGCACGACACCATCTGCTACGACCACAACCTTCGTTGTGTTGCAATGTGTTTGCAGAGCCTCTGAGTGGCTTGCTCCTTTGGCACATAGTTCCAAAGCTATCTCCCAGATTCTCTGAGAGGCCTTATCTCACTGAGAGCTGCAACTTCCGCAAGATGGGTTTTGGGCTCCGCACGTGTATGGTGAACACGGCCTTGTGCGGTGATACCTCGTCTGTCAAATGATGGGTCCTCCCAAGCCGGAAACACCAGCTGGCACAAAGTCACAAAGCCTCGGGAGCTGCGTGACGAAGGATGGCGGCATTCTGCCGAAGCCTTCAGAGATGGTGATTCTTGCAATCTCTAGGCTTGTAAAGTGCTTAGGCTGTGTTGTTTATGGTTTATTGGGTGATTGCGAGGGCAGAACATGGACAGAACGAATCTGTGTGCTCTTGGGCCGCGGCGCAGGCGGCAAGTCAGAAGGAAACTCAGGCTTGTAGAGTAACCGCCTGTACCTCGTGCGTGAAAGTGCCCTTCACGAATTGCAACAGAGTTTGCCCCACAGTGACATTCTTGTCGATACGTTTCACAAGATCCTGTTTTGAACGGGTTTGAACCGATTTCTCCGAAGCTTCGGAACAATAAATCACCAATGTAAGATGTGACTCTGATTAGACCTCCTGTTCCTGTTGAAGGGAAAACGCAATGAGGACTGCAGCATGAATGTGTGTAACCATGCATGAAGCGGAGTCCTCCTCATAAACTTGCATCTTCTTTGTGCAAGAGTCTGCAAGAGCCAACAAGATGAATTCATGAATGCGAGGCGGCGCACGCGCGGCAGCCTGCAAAAAGCAACACAAACCAGATTAAGTCACGATGCGTAAAGTCTCGCCACAAGCAGCAACAAAGGTTGCACCTAAGCCTGGAAGTTGCCAGCACCGACCCGCTCGTGCGACATGGCTTGCGGAGTTCATCCTCCATTTGAGGCAGCATTAAGCTCCAGCAGGGTTCGGGTCTGTGGTAGTGGAAGACTCCACTTCTGCCGACGGTGGCGTCATCGTTCACAAGCGGCATGGACTTAGACCAGGAACCGGGACCTACGGATCTGTTCACAAATGTGGAGGTCAGATGGCTCGAAAACTGGTGATTGTAATGATCAGATTATGGGATTTGATATGCCTGCCTGCCATCTGCAGTGCAGGTGCCCGTCTCGTGATGGAGGCAATATTGTCAAATTGAAAGCGTCACACAGCATGTGTCCATTCAGTGATCTGCAACACCGAGCACGATGTCCCAACAGGCTCTTTTACCAGCATTAAACTTAAACAAAGTCTTCACCCTCGGCAGTCAAGAGTTGGGGAGCGATGTTGGAGAGAGGATTCGAACTGCATGCCAATCAAATCTTCGGGAGGCAGGTACCAACTAGGTACTCTGACATACGATGATGACGAGGCCTCTGCCGCAACATCTTGTCCTCCTATGTACAGGCTACTCAACTGGCGTGCCGTGAGGGATTATCCTTTTCGAAGAAGGCTGGTCGCTCGACTCAACCCTACTAGCATGCATTGATGTAAGCCCTCATCAGGTACCCAAGTTGAGGCCACTCAGAGCCAGCCGGGGATGTCCATCTCATCTCAGAATCACAGCACGTTGCAGCCTGGCCCGGGAGCCTGCTGAAGGGTATGGCTGTCTCTCTCTCTGGCACCATGCGTGTTCGCTTTCAAAGTTCCTAGCAATGGCCACGTCCCGATCGACCAAGTCACAGGAAACGTATGGGGACATGCCTTGAACTCCCTTGCAAACAAAGAGTAGACAGTGCACTTCACTTGCACTTCAGACTAACCCGGGATGCGTCGCGTGCTTTCATGACATGGAGAACGCCTCGGTCGGCGACCGAGATCCCGTGGAGGAGGTGCTGGCAGAAGGTCCCGAGGGCGCCTGGGAGTAAACTCACACAGCTCGGGCTCTTGGATTCGGCTAGCCAGAAGGACACCCCATGGATACACTCACCAATGTCCCTAAAAGAGGCCGACATAATTAAGCACCAAAAACCCTTCATGTGAAATCTACTCCCGATGTGTGCGAGTATTGCTACGGCAGCCGACAAAAGGTGTCTTCGTTTCTTGGCAGGAAGGCTGACATCGGTGTTGCCAGCTGCCAACTTACCTCATTGTGATCGTTGCGGGTTAACGGTTTTGCGGTGGCTCGGCAGCCAACGTGTTGTTGGTTCCATGGGAAACTAACCCAAGCTGGCATTGACAGATCCCATTGTACCACAGTTGTTCATGCGCAACTTGCGCAGAGCTGACTGGGCTGCCAAGTTGTAGGGTGCATTAGGGACCACTAGGGCTTAGGCAAGTCCCCCAAAAAGGCACAGCATTCGGCCTCAACGGGCATCGCCTCCATTGGCTCAGCTGGAGGCTCAGCTTCCGGACTGCACAAGTCAGGGTTTAGGCATTGGGCATCGGGTCACCGAGCCTTTTGGCATGAACAACATGAACGCAGACATGTTCACTGCAGTTAGCGGAGGGAGCAGGCCTCGCGATGCCTTCTGCCTGGGCACAAAGATGTTCGCTTGTCATTGATAGTCGAGTCGCTGCATTTTGGTTTCTTGAAACACGCATCCTGCCTTCAGCCTGCCTTCTCGGAAGTCACGCACGAAGTCTCGCAGTACTGCAGTGTCCAAGTCCTTGCACAGACAATCGCTTTGCTTTTCCAAAGATGCAGATGATGTCCCCTGATGTCCCGGCGTTGCGACCTGGTCAGACTCCCAACGATATCGCTTCTCTTTGTCGACGTCGAGGATCGCGAGCGCTGGACTCGCCGTCGCAGCACAAAGCTCTCGAACCTGGGGGGCCACATGGGGCCACATCTCACAAATGCCCCAACAGCTTGACTGTCAAGCAATTTCAAGATACTTCCTGTCACCGGTACCTGTGGAACGGCACCATTTGGCTGCAATGCCACGAAGAAAAGGATGGAAGGGACCTGAACTTGGAGCATGGCATGTGTCGGTGAGATACTTTGATGTGTCCGAGTCAACAACTTCTCCATCACGCTTTCCCACAGAGTCGTGCACCTGCATGTAGTCTTAGCTTAATCAAAGTAGCCTTCTCAATGCCTCCACACATCCGATGCGACGGCCCAAAAGGTGCAACCTTCTTGAATCCTGCAATAACATCACAAACGAATACTGTTGAGTAAGCTTGGTAAGGGCCATTTGTCGTCCCTCACGGGTCCCAAGATGTTCATGGAATCGGTGCTTCATGAATGCCAGAACAGATGGGCGATCTGACACAGGACCTTTCTGCACGCCCCCGGCTTTTTGTGGGACCTGCCCGAACCGATTGGAGGAGCCGCAATTGTATGCCAAAGACCGACCCAAAAAGCACGAAACTGGACCCCCACCTCAAACCCCCCCCTGAAAACCGCTTCTGGGACCCCGCCCTCAAACTCCTTCTGCGCCTAGGCCCTTCAAACCTCTCCAACCCCTTGAACTCAGGACGTGCGTGGCAGTAGGATGTGCGTGGTGCTGCACCATGTGCCACAGGACTTGATTTTCCTTCGTTTGCGCTGCACATCGCCGCACTCTCGGCTGCGTCGCTCGCTGAGGGGGAAAACCGTGTCCCTTGGGGCATGTGGACTAAAACCCCTCTGCCCCGGCCGGGGCTCAAGCCCACTCTACAACCGATTCGTGACATACCCGAAAGCCTAGGGCTAAACCCGAAATAAAGCCCCTAAAACTCAGACTTCCTCGCAAAGCCGCTACACTGCTCCGACCGGGGTAAGTGACTGAGATTATTGCACGCCGCTGCACGTGAAAACAGTACACTGTGACCTAGGTGGCTCTACGTTCACGACAGTGCACTGCGCATGGCTGAAGCATGAGTTCACAACAGTGCCCTCTGCACCCAATCGGTGCCGGAGGATTAAGATGATGATTAGTCGTAGAGCTCACCGCGGCATTGACAACTTTCGCCCCTGGTCCTAAAGCGTTAAACTGCCACAAGCATCAAGAGGTGACTTGACGTTGTGCACACCGACCAAAGCAATGGGTCCACCACAGCCTTAAAAACCGAGAGCCGTAGACTGCAGCTATCGCCGCGGCATTGCAGCAGGAAAAGGCAAAGGGATGGCGAGGGAACTTCCGCAGTCGCTTTAGCCGACCCAGCATCACTCAAAGCACCCAACCTAGTCTCACAAGAATTTCCGGCCACATGATTCAACACACCGACCTGTCTTGGTACTGCAGAGGTGCCCAATTGATACTCGCATTCCCAAAGCCAACTCCATCGCTGCGAGAAGCACCGGAACCAGGAATAAACGAACTGTGCTTTCTGTAAGCCCTGCCCCCTAATATTAAATCCCACTGATTTAAAGGGATCTGATCATAATAGGGATCTACTTATATAGGGCCCCTTATTGAGTCGGGCCCAGGGTCCTCCATCTCTTCATAAAATGCCCTTGTAAGAGGCCCTGCATAAGTGGATTCCTATGATTAGATCCCTTTAATTTGAGGAGGCTTTAGTATTAGGGATTCTGCTGCCCGTCGCCCGGACAACGAAGAGTCCCGCAATGGCTTGGGCTGCTAAGGAGACTAGAGGACCGGCCTGTGCTGTCAACCCCATTCCGCCTTGTCCTAAACCCTAAGCCCTAAACCCTGAAACCGCCACAGCCCTCAAAGAAACCCTCAAAGAAGCCCGTGCCGTTGCCCGACAAGGATGGTTGGACGACGGACGGTGGTGAAAACTTGCCTCGATGAGGCGGAGGGCAAGGTTACACCCGCTGCCTTCCTGGGAGGCGGGGAGGGCAGGGTCCACCGCAATAAGCCCTGGCACCTGGGTCCTTTGGGTCCTTGGGTTTTGCGACAAACTGGCTAAGCAAGACGTCTCCGAGTCAAAGAAAGAACATGCAGGATTAGAATTGCGGTGCGCACCTGCCAACAGGGACCCGAATACCCCTTAATTAAGGAAAAAAAGCTGCTATCTAGGCATCATTATGACATTAAGTCCCTAACACCTAACCCCTAACCTAAACCCTAACTTCACTAAGTATTGGGCTCTTGGGAAGGAGAATTCCCTGGGGCGGATTGAGGTCGTCCCGCAGGGATTCCCTCCGAGAATCTTCCCCAGACGACCGGCCCCATACCACCTCGAGGCTGCCGGACATGGGACGCACGACGCAGGCTCGCACGTTTAATTAAGGTTTAGGGTTTAGGGTTTAGGGATTTAGGGTTTTAGGGTTTCGGGTTTCGGGGTTAGGGTTTAAGGCAAATACGGGTATAAACTGCCCTTACCATCACAAAACTCGTCGTTAAGATATATTCCTTATGATTTGTCAAGTCAACCCGTGCCTGCCATCCAGTAAGGCTAACCCTGACTCGCTAAAAGATATTCCTATCGTTTTGCAGTGGGTCCAAGAAACAGGTCCCCATCTTGAACTCTCACATCATTTGTTTGTTCCCTAGGCCCATACATTTACATCGTCCCATGCCCTACAATGTCCTATATCTACATACTTGGCATTGGGGCTGGTGAAGATCCAAGTCCAGTCCAATGCCAATTACCTTCGAGAGGAAAATCTGCTCCAGACTGGCTGATGTTCTTATGTCTTAGGCGCTGAATCCTTCTTGGAAAATCGGCTCTCCGCCGGATGCTTCGGCTTTCAGCACATCAACCTGTTTGGAGATCCGGCGGCACTGCAGAAAAATCGGAGGGGAAAGCCCTCAGGACAGCGCAACTGCCCTTACAATGTGGACGACATTAAGCCTCTGGCCAAGGCCGACACTCTCATGCACCCCTCGCGCTGCCCTTGGAAAGCCTGCACCAAGAAATCCGGCATCGACGGTTTTTCTGCGAAATCTTGGGCTGACCAGTTGCGAGAGTTGCGGAGATCCAGCCGAGCTCCTACCGCAATGAGCGCCGCTGCGGCTTCATGCTGCCCACTCATGATGGCCGTCATTAGGGGTGTGCCACCACTCGCGTGATAACAGAATCTGCCCCATAGTGTATCCCATCCAAGTCGATACCAGAAGGTATTCGTGGCCAGCATAACTTCGAAGGGTGAGGTAGGCACCAGTGGCACTTGCAGGGACTCATTCACATCGGCTGAACCAGCGTGTGCACAAGCTCAGAAGTGCCCCCGTATACTGCAGTTGCAAACTGAAGCCCGTGGGTCAGATCCGACACTTCGATCGAATGCCTTGCTCGGATGAAGAGTTCCTCCACCGCCTCCACGGAGCCAAACGTACAGCCGGCCACCAAAGCATGGATTCCCAAGAAGTCCCTCTTGCAAGGATCGTATCCAGCGTCCAAAAGCAGACGAATACCTTCGGGGTTGTTTGCATGCGCAGCAAGGTGTAGGGCGGGCGCCAGGCCAAGGTCCACTTTGGCCCTGGACAAGATCAGCAGGCGTGCGGCATCATTGTGCGTGTGGAAGACGGCAATGTTCAGTGCCGTTGCCATAGGCGCGGTTCCTGTGAGGGGCTGGTCCTTCTGCGTCGGACAGTCAGGGTCTGCACGCTGGGCCAACAAACCCTGCATTACCAGAGGATCCCCACCCAAGGCAGCATAGTGCAACGGCGACCAACCCGCATCGTCCACGTCATGCAACGTCTCGAAGCCGTTCTGGTACATGAACCGGGACGCAGCCAGGGACGCAGCGTCTAACTCCGAGTCCGCAGGGGCCACGAATCCGGGAACTGGCTCCATCCGCTTTCCAACCGGAAAATTGAACAGGTGGACTGACTGCATGCTCAGCAACACACTGTATCCCACCACATCCTGTGCTCTCAGCAGGGACAGCAGCTTGCGCTCAAGCGCGCCAGTCAAAACTGGTGTGAGCTTGAGGCGGTCCTCTTCGACGGTGAACTTGCCCATTCCAGCTGGTCCGCCGACGGTGCATGCAAGAGACGCTATCAGCTGGATCTCTGTGCTGGTCCTGATCATAATCCAGGACTGATCCAGGGAAAGCTCCCGGAATACTCTCTCGATGCGACACCATCCTCCTTAGCTGTCTTTGGGACCCGAAAAGCAAGTTGCAATATTATCCGTTCCCGATGGCTTGCAGTCGTCATTCCTCCCTAAGAGGTCACAAGTACAAAACTCCAAACGTGTTCCAGCACGGCCCTAGCCTCTTTCTGCCCAAGTGTACGGAGAGAACACCTGGGACAGATGCTCGCTCTCGACAACTGGGCAGAGCGCAAAGAAGTAGGAACACTTCCCCACGTATGCAGGAATGCTGTCAATAGCTTTGGGCAGTTCACCACTCCCGGCATGTGGGCCGAACTCATGCTCCAGTTGTGGACAGGAGAAGTAATCATACCACAGGGACAAGGGCACCGTCCGGAATTCGGACGTGGACAGCGGCTCGCGATTGCACATGACCTCGGTATGAATGTCCACTGGGATGCTCTGCAAGTTGGTCAAGATGTTTTTCAAAGCCTCCTGCAAAACACGCATCTGCTTGAACTCGGGGTCCGGATGATGGTGGCCCACCCACTGATGCGAAACGAAGGCAGCCTTTCCCATCGTCTGCTCAAATTCAACCACCACGCCCTTGGCCTTGAGGACCTCGTGGGGCTGGATCTCTGTCATCTTCAGCAGTTCTTCCTTGGCTCTGATAAAAATTCGCAAATAGGTCCCTTCAAAGACACCAACAGGGAAAACACAAACAAGTCCCAATGAACCAAAGGCCAACCAAGCTTCCAGTGGCACCACGTACATCGGGAATAGCACTGCGGCATCTGCGAAGCCTGAGAAAACTGAGTTGCGTCAGGAAACTCCAAGAGTAGCTGCGTAGCATGCTGCAAACTCTATCGCAGAAATCACAAGAGCGCTATCCCACAGAACAAACACAGATCTAACACCCGCAAAATGTACGAAATCTTGAGGGAAATTCAACGATTTCGAGAGACCATCGAAATTGATCAAGTGGCTGTCTGCCTTCTCCTGATGCAGCAACCTCGCGTATTGCTCCAGCGGAGACATTCCTGTATGAGCTTCGACGAAACATTCCATGATTCGTTGTCAGCGCAGCCCCCGGCACCCTAGGGTGAATGGTGGCAAGCTTCCCCTGGGC